TATTCCACAAGTAACGTTTAGCACAGTTGAGTGTTGGCCGTTTACTACCGAGAATTAAGTCCGATGGGTTAGGTAGTTTGTCAGCCATGATAAAAGAGACCCTTGAATTTCAAATTGAGAACTCAACTTATGCAGTAGGATAGCATGGGATACACAGTCAAAAGCTTTCCTACAGTCAACAAACGTCACAGCAACCACTTTACTGGCGTCAATAGCTGTTCTCCAAATCTCTGAGAGGTGTACCAGCAGTAGCTCAGTAGAATGCCCCTCACGGTAGGCCCACTGTTTATCTGTAACCAGCTTATTTTGGGAAACATGTCGAACGACAATTTCAGACACACAAGATTCCATTTTCTCCCTTGGAACACTTAGAAGCGATATCGGTCTATAGCTAATTGTGTCAACTTCATCGTCTTTCTTTTTTAATCAGACGAGCTTTCTTCTATTCAGTAAAACTTTCTCCGAGGTGAGTACAGAATGAGAATAGACCTGTCAAGGGAGAAACAATGGCAGGCTCAGCTAGTTTTAATAATTTATGTGGAATGATATGTCATCTGGACCTAATCCTTAGCATTGGCCGCTTCGTTTAGCCGGTAATGGAAAGTCAAAATCTTTGGGTTCTCTGTTACACTTTCTTTGGCTGGTCTGAGGTCAAAGTAAATGATAGGGTAAATTGATGAGAAGTTGGCGATTTGANCTTTCCTACAGTCAACAAACGTCACAGCAACCACTTTACTGGCGTCAATAGCTGTTCTCCAAATCTCTGAGAGGTGTACGAGCAGTAGCTCACTAGAATGCCCCTCACGGTAGGCCCACTGTTTATCTGTAACTAGCTTATTTTGGGAAACATGTCGAACGACAATTTCAGACACACAAGATTCCATTATCTTCCTTGGAACACTTAGAAGCGATATCGGTCTATAGTTATTTGTGTCAGCTTCATCGTCTTTCTTTTTTAATCAGACGAGCTTTCATCAATTCGGTAAGAGTTTCTCCGAGGTGAGCACAGAATGAGAATAGACCTGTCAAGAGAGAGACAGTGGCAGGCTCAGCTAGTTTTAATAATTTATGTGGAATGATATGTCATCTGGACCTAATCCTTAGCATTGG